CCCCTCAAGTTGGGAGATATATATTGATCATTCCCAACTTGCTGATCAAATTCTCAAAGGTCGGCTTAAGTAATCCTTTGGTGAGGATATCTGCCGTCTGTTCCTTGGTAGGTATATATGTCAAGCATACACTACCGTCTTCTAACTTCTCTTTGATAAAGTGACGATCAACTACCAACTCCACATGTTACTATCTAGTATTCTGTCATGATCAAATTCTCAAAGGTCGGCTTAACAGGATCCTTTGGTGAGGATTCTGCCGTCTGAGGTATATATGTCAAGCATACACTACCGTCTTCTAACTTCTCTTTGATAAAGTGACGATCAACTTCCACATGTTTTGTTCTGTCATATGAATAAGATTTTGAGCAATGCTGATAGCAGCCTTATTATCACAATATAATCTGATAGGTAGGGAATAGGAGATCTTCAACTCCTCCAGAAGCCTTCGTAACCAAATTCCTTCACAAATACCATGGGCTAGAGCCCGAAATTCTGCTTCTGCACTGCTTCTTGCAACAACAGTTTGTTTCTTACTTCTCCAGGTCACAAGGTTTCCCCAGACATAAGTACAATATCCTGAAGTAGATCTTCAGTCCATTGCAGAGCAAGCCCAGTCTGCATCTGTATAGATTTCAATCATCCTTTTGTGCCCCTTTTTAAAGAAAATTCCCCGACCAGGGGTATTTTTGAGGTATTTGAGAATTCTATAAACAGCATTAAGGTGTTTTTCCTTAGGAGAATGCATGAATTGGCTAACCATGCTCACAGCAAAAGCAATATCAGGACGAGTGTGAGACAAATAGATTAATTTCCCCACTAGTCTCTGGTACTGCTCCCTATCAACATCTTCCCCGTCCTCAACACCCATCTTGATATTAGCTTCAATTGGAGTCTCTGCCGGCTTGCACCCAAGCATACCTGTTTCTTGCAACAGGTCTAGAATGTATTTTTTCTGAGTTAAAGAAATTCCTTCCTTACTCCGAGCAATTTCCATGCCAAGGAAATATTTGAGAGATCCAAGATCTTTTAGTTCAAACTGGTCAGCTAAACATTTTTTTAAAGAGGTTATCTCCTCGCTATCATTACCAGTGATAATTATGTCATCAACATAAACGATCAGAATAGCAATTCTTCCTTTGTCGGAGTGTTTAAAAAATAAGGTGTGATCAGTCTGAGCTTGGGTGAACCCTCTTCCCTTAACAGCTTGAGTAAATTTTCCAAACCATTCTCTGGGAGATTGTTTAAGTCCATAGAGAGACTTCTGCAACTTGCACACAGAACCATCCCCTTTTTCAAAACCAGGAGGTGGATCCATGTAAACTTCCTCATGTAGATCACCATTCAAGAAGGCATTCTTAACATCTAACTGTTGCAATGGCCAATCAAGGTTGGAGGCAAGAGATAGCAGAACGCGGATAGTGTTAAGTTTGGCAACAGGAGCAAATGTCTCCTGATAATCTATCCCATGAGTCTGAGTAAATCCCTTAGCAACTAATCTGGCCTTATACCTATTGATGCTATTGTCTGCATTGAATTTTATTGTGAACACCCACTTGCAACCAACAGTTTTCTTTCCTTTAGGTAATGTCACAAACTCCCATGTTCCATTTTTTGTAAGTGCATCCATTTCTTCTAATACAGCATTCCTCCATTTTGGGTCATCAAGTGCTTCTTGGATATTTTTGGGTATCCTGGTACTATCTAACAGTGTTGAAAGCACGAAAACCTGGAGACAACTTTTCATATGAGATATAATGGGAAATAGGATGAGCAGTGCAAGATCTAGTACCTTTCCGAAGAGCAATAGGCATATCAATGTTGGCTGTACTAGTACATTCAAGTGGGTTGCTGGAACAAGGACTCGAATCAGGATCCTAGCAGTCTAGAGTATCTTCATGTGTTTTGCGCCTGCTGTAAAATTTTCCCCATTTACCAGGAGGATCATTAGATTCAGGTATAGTTGCTCCCCCTGTTTCCTTCCCAATAACTCCCCCTGTTTCCAAAGGCCAAGGTAAGACAGCAGCATCATTTGGTTTCCCAGGCTTATCTTCATCCATACCAATACCAATAGACTCCCCCTGAAGAGAAGTCGGGGAAAAAAAGGATTGTGTCTCATAAAAGGTAACATCCATGGAAACAAAAACCTTACGGAGAGAAGGTGAGTAACACTTATAACCTTTTTGATTAGGGGAATATCCTATGAAGACACATCTAACAGATTTAGGGTCAAGTTTGGACCTGTGATGTGGAGGAATATGCACAAAAACCACACAGCCAAATATTCTGGGAGGAAGAGAAGAAACAGCACTGAAAGAGGGAAAAAATTTAGTAAGACAAGATAAAGGAGAATGAAAATTTAGTACCCGAGAAGGCATCCGGTTAATGAGATAAGAGGCTGTCAAGACGGCTTCCCCCACAGATATTTAGGGACATGCATCGTGAATAAAAGAGCTCGAGCAACTTCAATTAGATGTCTATTTTTTCTTTCAGCCACCCCATTTTGTTGAGGGGTGTTAGGACAAGAACTTTGATGAATAATTCCATGCTGGTTTAGGTAATCTCCAAGAACAGAATTAAAATATTCAGTACCATTGTCTGTTCGCAGAATTTTGATAGAGGTCTGGAATTGAGTTTGAATCATAGCATGAAAATTTTTAAAGGTGGATGCCGCATCAGACTTATCTTTCAAGAGGTATACCCAACATACCCTAAAATGATCATCAATGAAAGTAATAAACCAACGAGCACCCGAGACATTTTTTTCACGAGCAGGTCCCCAAATATCACTATGAATCAATGTAAAGGGAGAAGATTCATGATATTTTTTAGGAGAATAAGTGGCACGAGAATGCTTTGCAAGCTGACAAATATCACAAAGAAGGGAACTTGGCTTTTTATTGATGAACAAGTTCGGGAATAACATCTGAAGATAGACAAAATTTGGGTGTCCTAACCTACGATGCCATAACAAAACATCATTACAATCATCTGATAAACATAAAGAGTGGTTTGAAAAAATCCTCCTTTCACAAGGATCCTCTTTAAAATAGTAGAGCCCTTCTTCCTCTCTAGCACTGCCAATCATCGTCCCCGAGTCCTGTTCCTGAAAGGTACAAGCATTTGCAGAGAACTTAGCAACACAATGCAACTCAGCAGTAAGTTTGCTAATTGAGATGAGGTTACAGGTAAGAGAGGGAACATGAAGGACTGAATTCAAAATAATATGCTCAGAAAGTTTAATGGATCCCTTCCCCGCAATAGTGGAGAAATTCCCATCAGCTGTTCTTATTCGTGACGGGTGATAGTAAGGGGTATAGGAGAAAAATAAGGTTGCATTACCTGTCATGTGATCAGAGGCCCCTGAATCAAGGATCCAACGATTACTACGTTCAACATGGAATGCCATACCTTTTTGAGCAACATGACTAGTTGCCTCGGCAGGTTGAGATATCAGTTTCTGAAATTGCTCATACTGGGCCTTGGAGAGGAAAACACCATCAAGGTTTGAAGGGACATGAGACACCTCCCCTTTATCTTCGGAAGATACTTGATTAGCACGATTCTTGTTCTGTCCTTTTGGTTTCCAGTTTGGTGGTTTTCCATGAATTTCCCAACATTTTTCACGGGTGTGACCACCCTTATTGCAATGAGAACACCAACGGTCAGAACGTTTTGAGTCCCCAGAAAGACGAACAGTATTCTTTGCTATAAGGGCAGACCCATCAGAGGACTTAGAGTCCTTATCACCCAACATTACCTTTCGGCGAAGCTCCTCCCTTCGTACTTCAGAAAAAGCAGTAGCAAGGGAAGGTAATGGGTTTTGTCCCAAAATTCTTCCACGAACATCATCCAGATCAGAATTAAGGCCAGCAAGAAAATCATAGAGACGCCTTTTCTCTATATAATTTTTGAACCTTGCATTAGCTTCTAAACCTTGAAGGTCTGCTTTATCATAAAGATCTAACTCTTGCCATAGTATTTTTAGAGCAAGGAAGTATTCAATAACAGTCATCCCTCCTTGGCGTAATTCTTTCACCTTGGTGTTGAGATCAAAAGCCTCGGATGCATTGCCCAGGTCAGAGTAATATTCTTTAACAGCTTCCCAAATCTCGTGAGCTGTATCAAGAAATAAATAAGTTTGACTGATATCTGGTTCCATAGAATTAGTCAGCCATGTCATGACTAAAGCATTTTCAGTCACCCAAGAATCATAACCAGGTTCACGTTCTGCTGGTTTTACCTTTTTTCCGTCGAGATACCCCATCTTCCCTCTAGCCTGGATAAACAACTTAACAGATTGACACCATTGCACATAGTTCCTACCGTTTAAACGGTGACTGGTGATCTGCATTGCTGGGTTGTCTCCAGAAGACGAAGAGTTGGGAAGGGGTGAGGTTCCAGACGAAATTTCAGAATTTCCAGCATCCATGGCTTTCTAACAGGTACCCAGAAAAAAGTTCCTCCAAATACGATTTTGACCCTCAAAACAAGAAGAGGGTTGGCCACAGTAATTGCTACGTGATGAACAGTACTGCCACGGGTCTTCTGTGGGCTGGCTCGGAATTTTGTTCCGAACCTAATGGTGGCCTTGGTTTCGTGGTTGGAGGTGTCTAGGTAAGGATTCTGGCTTGGGCAGTGGCTAAAACGAAAAAAAAGAAATAGGAAAATGACTTAAAAATAAATCAGAACGGAGAAGAGACTGGAATATAACCAGCTCTTGATACCATGAAGAAAAGAAGAAGTGTTTTATCTGAATAATACTTTCTTGATTCATTGAGAGACCCAATGGGTCCTTTTTATATTGAGTACATCCAACTACCTCAACTACTTTAATAAATATGCAACCTCCAACTACATCAATAAATATACAACTACCAACTAAATATACAACTACCAACTACATCAATAAATACTATCTAGAATATTCTACATATTCTACACATGTGAAAAGTTTGTCTCATATCTCTTTCTCTTATTGTTTTTCTTTATTTTGGTCTTTAGTCTGAAAGAGCAAATGTGAAAACTTATCATTGAAAATAATCTGATACAAGCATTGAATTTGATAAAATATCATTCCCTAAAAACTCTCTCAGGAAGAAGGAGAAGATAATTGAGACAGCAACTCCAAGTGAATTTTTAAGGGGACAAAATGGTCAGATTAGCTAGATTTTTACCCAAGTTAGAGATGGATTTAGATTGAAAAAACTATAAGGGAAGCAACTGATTAAAAAAATCATAAGGGGATTTTTGAACTTTTCCCTTTAATTTAACTTTAGACATTTATAATTTGCATATTATATTTGGCATTCCAATAATTTCACATAGATATGATAAGAATCATAGTAAGTGACTACATATTTAAAAGAAACAGATTAATTGTGGGTGTAGAAGTAAATGAATTGTGGTTTATGTTTTTTAAGAGTATTTAAAGTTTTTTATTTGTGTCAAATCTCTACAATATTTAATAGCGTGACAGAAAGATACAAGACAATAGTGAAAAGTTCTAAATGATTTTTCGCCATTAGATAGCCCACTAAACCCGAGAACGTTTTTAAGGTTTTCCAAGGAAATTCTATGATACAAACTCCACCCATATACTGACACCATAACATTTTTGTGCAAAGAGAAACACCAACCTGAACACTTTGGAATATCCGACACAGCAATTGACGTGGCTGTACAGTCTGAAGCACAAAGTTCAAGATTATTCTCATGATTGACATTCATTGCAAGCATCCAAGCTCCAATAGTAACATCCTCATTGCTGAACATCCGGAAACTGTGAAACAATGCAAACATTAAATTGGAATTAGGAAGAAGGATAAGAACTTAACAAGGTCCATATCATCCACCATGTTTATCCATTGTAATCTTCAGCCCTTTCCATTAAGGGGAAACTATAAAAAGAAATTTAAGACCTCGTAACCCCCAAAGTATGATATTGCATGAATGAATTAAGAGAAAGAAAGCAAGAAACCAGCTCATAAATTCTAAACAATTCAATGATACATTTGACGCTATTTTTGTAAGAAACAATCTGCTAATACATTGATAACTGTAAGGTATCAGAATCAAGAGTAAAGAAAGAAAGAAAGCAGAAAGAATCAACAGTGAGTAATTGAAATGAAACTGATAAAATGATAACTTGATATAACAGTGATGATACATAGCTATATATAGCACTTCACTAAGACTTAACTAACTTATAAACTAACTAGCTGATAATCAGGAATTCTGTTACCATTAGTTTTAATCTCTTTAGCCTTTCATTCCCCCACAAGCTCAGGATTAGAAGATCGAAGACTGAGCTTGTCTATAAATTCTGCAAACTTTGATCGTGTAACTGCCTTTGTAAGTCCATCTGTTATCTGATCAGAGGAAGGAACATGATGAACAGTAATTGACTTGTCCATTACTTTTTCCCTGACAAAGTGCAAGTCCAATTCAAAATGTTTTGTTCGTGAATGAAACAAAGGATTGGCTGTGAGAAGAACAGCACTCAAATTATCACAGAAGATGTTGGGAGTATGCTGCAAGTTAACTTTGAGTTCGAATAACAATGACTTAATCCACATGAGTTCAGCAAGTGTTGCGGCTAGACATCTATACTCAGCTTCAGTACTTGATCTACTTACAACCGGTTGTTTCTTGTAAGACCATGACACTAAATTCCCCCCAAGAAAGACGCAAAAACCAAAAGTGGAGCGTCTATCATCCATATCAGAACCCCAATCTGAATCACAGTAAGCTTGAAGATGAAGTGGTGAGGAAGGAGAGATGGTTAATCCTAGATTCCGAGTGCCACTTAGATACCTGAGAATTCTTTTCACAGCTTGCCAATGACTATCAAGAGGAGATTGCATAAACTGACAGACTTTGTTTACACAAAAGGAGATGTCAGGGCGTGTGACGGTGGCATATTGGAGAGCTTCTACAATTGATCGATACAAAGAAGGGTCATGGAAAGGAATACCATCTTTAGCAGAAAGCTTTAAACCTGATACCATAGGAGTGGGCAGGGATTTGCAATCTGTCATGCCTGTCTTTTTCAAGAGATCAGTAACATACTTCGATTGAGTGAGATGAAGAACACCTGTGGATGACTGCTTTGCCTCAATGCCAAGAAAATAGTGAATGTTTCCTAGATCCTTGAGAGCAAATGCAGTGTTGAGAGACTTAATAAGTGTTGAAATGGTAGAAGCAGAGGATCCTGTAATTAGGATATCATCTACATACACTAACACATAAGTGGTAGCTAGAGGAGTGATTGAGACAAGAAGTGAAGAATCACATTTAGTGGCAGTGAACCCAAGCCATATAAGAGTAGTGGTGAGCTTGTCAAACCAAGCTCTAGGGGCTTGTTTGAGTCCATAAAGAGCCTTCCCTAATCGACAGACCAAAGAAGTGTCAGCAGCAGAAAAACCAGGAGGTTGAGACATAAACACCTCCTCAGCTAGATCACCATTTAGAAACGCATTATTGACATCCAGCTGACGTATGGACCATCCATTGCAGAGTGCAAGTGTTAGAACAATGTGGATAGTAACTGGTTTAACAACAGGACTAAAAGTCTCAGTGTAATCTATGCCTTCACGTTGGTGAAATCCTTTGGCTACAAGGCGTGCCTTGTGTTTGAGTAAGGAGCCATCTGGATTGTATTTCACTCGAAAAACCCATTTACAACCAATAGGTTTTCTGTCAGGAGGCAATGACACAAGCTCCCAAGCGTTGTTTCTAATAAGAGCATTGTATTCTTCTTGCATTGCATGAAGCCATTGGGGATCAGCCAAGGCTTGAGCAACAGAAGTAGGCTCTAATGAGGCAGTGAACAACCGTGGCTTGAAAATTCCTGCTTTAGCTCTAGTGACCATCGGATGGTGGTTCTGTGAAGAAATAGAAGCAGTAGATGTAATAGGAGAAGGAGACAAGGACCTGCAGTTAAGGTTAGTATCTGAAATAGCACGTGATACATTGTCATTAGTAATGGATTGAGTTGACAATTCAGCATGTGTAATATATTCAGTATGTGTAATGTTTGAAGGTACAACTGTAGGTATAAAGGGAACTTTAGTTTGAGTGGATGGAGAGGCAGTAGGTAGGACAGTATATGGTGGATGATTAAAAGGAAATTGTTGTTCATCGAAAAGGACATGTCGAGAGAATATAACTTTTCCTGACGGTGTAAGGCACTTATATCCTTTATATGCTGGATTGTAGCCCAAGAAGGTGGAAGGTGCTGACCTGTAGTCCATCTTGTGAGAATTGTATGGCCTTAAATAAGGATAGCAACGACAGCCAAAGACACGTAGGAAAGAGTAATCAGGTTCTTTATTGAAAAGCAATTGACATGGTGATTTGTTTTTGAGGCTGGATGAAGGCAGCATATTGATGCTGACAGAAGCTGTGATGAAGTCATCTTCCCAATACTTCTTTGGGAGATGAGAGGCTGCTAACATGGACAACCCCATCTCAACAATATGACGATGCTTCCTTTCAGGGGTGCCATTTTGTTGATGAATGTAAGGACATGTGAGTCGATGAACAATGCCATGAGTTTGAAGAAAAGGTTTTAAGGCAAGGTATCCCTTTGCATTATCAGTTTGTAAACATTTGAGTTTAGTATTAAGTTGAAGTTCTGCCATGGTTTTGAAATGAGAGAAAATTGAGTGAACTTGTGATCTGGTTTTCATGGGATACAACCAAGTGTACTTGCTAAATGCATCAACAAAACAGATATAATATTTGGAGCCATTTGTGCTGTCTATAGGGGATGGACCCCAAATATCCGTGTAAACCAATTAAAGAGGAGTATGGTATACAGTATTGGAAAGAGTAAAAGGGAGCTGATGCATCTTTCCCATACAGCAAGCACAGCACAAAGGCATTTTTCTATTATTGAAGGGTATTTTACAATGGGAAAGAATAGACTTTACAGTTGTGAATGAAGAGTGACCTAGTCTACCATGCCACAGTTCTAAAACAGAATCAGAAAGGCATTTATTTTGAGTGGAGTTGGCTTCTGTTTGCACTTGATAGGCTGAGTGCTTCACAGGCTTTATTACATGTGTTCCTTCAAAGGCATAAAGACCATCTTTAAGTCTTCCTTGGAGAACAATCTCCTTGGTAGCCTGAGATTTCACAAAGCAATGGTTAGCATGGAATTCAAAGAAGACATGATTATCTTTGGCAAACTGTGACACACTTAAGAGATTCTTTGAAAGACCAGGAACATGAAGGATATTTGGTAAGGTGAATGATAAAGAGTTGGATGAATGTAAAGTGGAATTACCAACATGCTGAATTTTCATACCTGATCCATTACCTATTCGAACTGTATCTTGTCCTTTGTAGGAAGTCTTTGATTGTAGATTAGAACCATCAGGAGTAAAATGGTTTGAAGCTCCTGAATCAGGGTACCATGTTGGATCAAAAACAGAAAAATATTCTGAGTTGTTGTCATCTTGAATGGTAGATGAGTTGTTTCCAATCAAAGAGTTGTTTCCAGTCACTGCAACATTGGCTTGCATCTGGGAATGTGATGATTCACCGCGTTCTTGATTGTATCCAGATCTGTTGTTGAAGGGATTTGGGAGTCCTTGATTGTATCTATTGTAACACTCCCAAGCTGTGTGACCTGACTTGCCACATAATTGACACTGAATTCTTCCAGATTGTTGTTGCTGCTGATATGATCTACCTCCTCCATATCTGCCATATCTGCCTCTATTGAAATTGTTAAAACGACTTCCTCTGTTGAAATAATGAGGACTTCTTCCAGCAGCAGTAGAGCCATAGGATCTTCCTCTGTTCATGTGAGTCAGGTTCACTTGTGTCAAGTTGGCTTGCAGCATACCAACTTCATTCTTCCTATGCTTTTCTAGGCGTTCTTCTTGAGCCATAAGAAGAGCCTCTATCTCACTCACTGTATATGGATCTGACCTTGAGATGACAGATGTGATGAATGCATCATACTCTTCACCAAGGCCATCAAGAATCGCATCTATATGATCTTCTGATGCAATTGCAGCACCTGTGGCTACTAATGAATCCACGATTTTCTTGATTTGTAACAAATAGCTTGAAACTGTAGAATCTTTCTTGCTATTCTTCAGTTGGATTTTCAATTGTTTTACCTTGGATCGAGTTTGAGAGGTAAAGAATTCCTCTAGCTTGATCCAGACTTGATAAGAAGATTGGCAACCAACCATTCTTGTATGCAGGGACTCGGACATGGAAGCAAGAAGCCATGACATCAACAATTGATCTTGTTGAGTTGATTGATCAGCATCACTGGTGATGAATCTTTATAGATTGAATCCTCTTATGGTTGCCATAGCCTGCTGTTTCCAAGGAAGAAAATTTCCTTCATCCAGCTTGAACGATACAGGATTAGAAAAGGTGTGAAGTGTAGATTGCAGCGTTGCATTGTTGCTTTCCACTGTGTTTTGCGCGGGTTGAGACGACTCAGCAGAAGCGTTAGGTTCCATGGATCGAAAAAGAAGAGCTCTGATACCATGTAAGGTATCAGAATCAAGAGTAAAGAAAGAAAGAAAGCAGAAAGAATCAACAGTGAGTAATTGAAATGAAACTAATAAAATGATAACTTGATATAACAGTCAGTGATGATACATAGCTATATATAGCACTTCACTAAGACTTAACTAACTTATAAACTAACTAGCTGATAATCAGGAATTCTGTTACAATTAGTTTTAATCTCTTTAGCCTTTCAATAACTATTATATAGAGGAGAAACTTTGGGGATTAATTCAATGACGAGATGTTGATCTAAGGAAGCAAACAGGAGTACAATTGTATAACTTAATCGTCTTTACAAGTTTAAACCACGAATCTAAGGGCCACATGACACGGACATCCCTACCAACTTATGTTATTGATAATAATAAGAACATGGCTCCAACCAGTGACACAACTCAATATGACTAGCAAAGTTTAGGGAAATATCTCAACTTTTATTTTATGTTTTTAATTAAGAGACCACCTCCAGTAAACTAAGCTAAGCAGGTGATCTATATCCATACACCCTGACATTCTTTTTATGATGAGATGAAACAGATTATTCGTTCCAAGCACACAAATAAATATACAAAATCCAAGAAATGAGATAGAGAAAAGCAGATATGTAACACACTGAAGAAAATACCATTTACATCTCGATCACCAAATATATAAGAAAAATCCAACATCTAAACATCAACAAGTGTATCAAGTGTTACTTTATACGGTTCCCAATAGATTCATGCGAGAGGTTTGTGATCCTATTGTCTACTGAAGATCAAGTGGCCAAGCATGTTCTGGAGGAAAGAAAACTTGCCTGTCATTCCTGAGTGCAACCAAGCTTGAAACAACATCGGCAGAAAGAGTGTATATAGTACCATATGCATGAAGAAAATAATCCTTTCCAAGCAAATGTGATAGTGGCTCATACCTGCAAGATTTTATCAGTATGATTACTCCATAAGCAAAAGAAGTTAATATGCTGGTTAGAAATTGAAACCCAAAAGTCGCTGTCATTGTGACTGGTGAGCATGGACTGAAAATTATATTATTAATCTCAGCTTCTTACAGAAGAAAGAGAATGCAGAAAAGAGAATGAAAAGAAAACTGAATAAAAAGAACAATGTAAAGGACCTCAAAACCTCAACTGCCCAGCCTTAGGACAGGCTCGCCCCTCTAACTTAGCACCATCACATCCCTCTTCCCCTCCAAATTCTCCCTTCCCTCCACTCATTCTGTTATGCTCTCTGTAAAGAACCTTGGGATACACTACCCCAAAAGCTAGCTCAAAGGGTGAGAGTGTCCAAGGCCTTATAAAGGCCACATTAGTTGCCCACACAATCAATGTGGGACTATATATCTCAACACGCCTCCTCACGCAAGAGCCCTTTGGGCTAGAATCGTGGAATTGCACAGGCCCAATTTTTGGTTTACCTTTTTGTGCTTTTTATTTTAATTCCACTTTAAAGTGGGGGACGGTGAGGCTCTGATACCATGTAAAGAACCTTGGGATACACCACCCCAAAAGCTAGCTCAAAGGGTGGGAGTGCCCAAGGCCTTATAAAGGACACATTAGTTGCCCACACAATCAATGTGGGACTATATATCTCAACACTCTCCCTCTTCTCTCTCTAGCAACTCGTCATTCTTGCCCTGCCCTATAACTAACTCCTCAATTGGCAGCATTGACGGACCCACGTCTGTGCAACTGTCCACAAGTGCAGGCACAAGGTTTGGGGGGGTTCTAATTTTAACGAAAGTGACTTTTTGTGAAGAGGAGGTTTCTAGAAGACTATATAGAAAAGGAGGTTACGTTTTTTGAATAAAATATTATTCCGTTATCGCAGGAGATTTCGTATTGTTAATAGAAGAGGAGGTTTCATTTTTTTGAATAAGAATTTTTTTTTATAATAATTTGTTACTCACTTTTTTTATATTTTATTTATTTATTTTCTTTGTACATATCTAAATTTTTTCTAATTGATTATTTCTTTTTCGTTTATTTAATTTTAAATTTATTTGGATTCGGTATTAAATGTTAACATTAAGGGAAAAGTGTTTATCTTTTTAAATGACATAACTTGTGTCATTTCACTCTCACAAAATGGTGAAACTCATACTTTTATTTTTTTTTGTCCATTCTCTCTCTCCCCATGATCTATCTTTTTCTCTCACTTAAAATGACACAACTTTACATTCTTTAAAATGATACACACTTTTTCCTAACATTAATACGAAAAATAATTGCAATATTCAATATATCATCATAAACAAAATTTGTTTTCTATATATCCCCAACCAGCAAATGGACACGATTATACTTAAGAAACAGCTAAGCTGGGATGCCAAAAAAAAAAAAAAGAAACAGCTAAGTCAATTTCTCCGAGCAGGTGCCGGTTTCATTCTTATTCTGCAGTTTCTTATTCTCCCATTCCAAGGTTGTCTTTCTTCCTTCACACATTTTTTTTTAATTAAAAGATACAAAGTGAAGAACTGGGTGTTTTTTCTTGTGTTCCCATATCAAAATCTTGTCTTCGTTAAAAATTTGCTAACAATAACCTTAAATTACCAAATCCCTATCTCTGCACTGTTCTCAGGTATTTTCTCTTATTCATTTTCAGGGTATTGTTTGGCCAAGTGTATTTGATTGGATTTACTTCAGTTGACCCTTGATTTTAATTCACTAGGAACGTGTAAAGTTTTCAACTTTATCAGATAATCAATCATGCAGTTTGGTACGGTGTAGAATTTTTGTTTGGTGGGAAAGGCCATTTCTCAGATGGGTTTATTATCTAAGCCTCAGAAGGCATTTATGATTGTGCATTCGGTCTAGTTAGCCTTTACCATGCATTCACTCCAAAAATAATAAATTAGGACTCTAAAAAATACTAGTCTTGACAACATAATTATTGCTGGAGTTAATTTTAAAATTTTCAATTCTGCTGGGAGCATCTATGAATGTTTTAATCATGATTGTTAAGTTGAAGTTTTCTTTTCTTTTCTTGTTTATATTCTTTTGTTTTTTAATACATTTAAAACTTTCTTTAAAAAAGTTTTTGTACGCAGACATAATTAAAATTTCCTGGGTCCGCCACTGATTGACAGCACCTCCTTTTTCCATAATCATATATTGGAACTACTCCCCACCCTCCCTTTTCCTTTTTCTTTCATACACCTGTCACTCCTTTTTATTTATATTTTTGTTCCTATTCCTGTTAGTATAAGTGTTGGTTACAGGTCTATCAATGTCCTCCCAACAAGAGCCACCTTGTTCTCACGGTGGCAAGCTAGGAATTGTTGCTTCATTGCTTCAAAAGATTCCCGAGAGTTCCCATAATCTGGCAGATTCTCCCACTTGATCAAAATCTCCAAAGACCCATCCAATAACTGCTTTTTAGCCAGCACAGCTTCAGGGTATACCAGCAACTCCAACTCCATATAAAGAAAGGTGGGAGCTGCTGACTGGGGACACTCAAAGGAAAGCCTTCTTCAACATTTTAACATGGAAGATAGGATGAATCTGAGAATAACTTGGGAGTGCAAGTTTGTATGCAATTTTATCCACCTTTTCCACAATTTAAAAAGGGCCATATTACTGTGGGCTTGATTTCTCATTTGCTTTACAAGTCAATGATTTCAAACTCTTTTGATTCTGGAGCTCTGGAAGTCATACTTCACAACTGAAGGGGGAACTAGCCCAAAGGTGCCTTAAAAGGAGACATCTGTATAGATGCATTAAAGGAGGAACTAAACCATAATTTGCCTATGGAATCCAGTTGACCCACTGTTTCAGAATTCAGATGGTCATTAACAAAACCCCGCAAATAAGTCTCCATTGGTTTGTTAATTACCTTTGTTTGTCCATATTTTCGTGGGTGATAAGTTGAACTAGGACACAGCTTGGAGCCTGCCAACTTGAACAATTCCTTCCCATGATAAAAATCCAATCTCTGTGAGCCACACCTTTCCATTTCTATAATTGTTCCTATTCCTCTTAGTATAAACGTTTGTTACAGGTCTATCCAGCAATGATAAATTAGAACCTAAAACAAATTGGCAATGAAATGTCACATCCTAGGTGTGAAATTGTTTCAGTTTATTCCTTCGTGAGAGTTGGTTGGCCATCAATTTTCCATTCAACAACAACCAAGCCTTATCCCACTATATGGGGTTGAGTGCAAAGATCAATGGACATCATCAGGCTCTATTATAAACAATAAAAGAATGATATGTTTTACAATTTTTTTCTTTCTTATATATTGATTACATATTTTCAAGAAAGATACTTTTTAATATTTTGTGGATATTACTATTTTTGAAGTTATAACTGTAGTAACCAAATGAGAATTAAAGATGAAAAGAAATAACAGTTGAAGACATCATTTCGAAATCCAGTTTAGAATTTATGGTCTCACTCTCAACCTAGTTCTTAGAATTCCACCCCCAGCATAAAAGGAAAGCAAGAGAAAATAAAAACTACAAATAAAATTGTTAAGAAATTTGATATGTCAAGGTAGTTAAGAAAAAAAGTTTTAAGTTGACATAGATATTTAAAACTAACATCTGATTGCAAATTTATTATCAGACATTTTCTCTCTCACGGTAGTAATTGTTCATTTGTAATGGCATATATATTAGTAATTTATATTTCCTTCTCAGGCGAACAGCATCAAGCAAAGACAGCAAGTTCTATATATTAATATCATTCCATCACAGGAGCAATTTACTAATGGCATATTTTATCTCCCTTGAATAAAATAGTGGCAGGCTGAAAAGTGTGCAGTTGGGAAAATCAATACCAGACAGGATAAAACTAAAATCTTAGAGATAAAATAAATTCAATCTTGTACTAAAAAGAAAAAATTCAATCAAATCAAAACAAGACTAACCATTTGAGTTTTGGATCAGTGAAAACAGGTCCCTTTTTCATGCATCCTATATAAGTCTGAGAGTGTGATCGCTCTTTTGCCAGTAGCAATGAAAGACGATCTGACAATAAATTGAAAACATTAGCATAAATTTTAATTAGGGGGAGGTAAAACGTAATATCATAAAGAAAGCTCATCAATGTATTTCATCACGATAAGTCTTAAAAGATCAAGTCACCTGGCCTTAAATATATGTCATCATCAGCTTTGACATAAAACTCGGCATCAAAAAGAGCATAAGCAGCTTTGAAGAAAGCTAACCTGTAATAAATGAATGTTCAACTTAACAACACACTACGGATAAAATACTGCAATTTAGTCATTCTTAGCACACACGTTTTGTATGGGAGCTTACTGTACTCCTCTTGGATATCCAACTGAATGAAATCATCATATTCCGCTACTTCCTTCTGAAGCGCAGACATCTTAGCTTTATCACTTGTTCTACCAATGATAAACCTAAAAGCCAACCCAGTGGCTTCTTCCAAGCTGCAAGAAACAGTCAATAATTAAAGTCAAGCAACCATATTAACTTGCACCTTTTCAAGCCCAGCTTCTCTCAAATTGTCCAACCTACCAACAAAACATAAAACAACCCACTTCGCATAACTTAAACACACTACAACCTACATATAAATATTGAATGGTTTAATGGAATCAAAACCAGGCCAGATAAATATACATAGCAGAACTTAGCATGACTCATGAATTAAACTTTCATGTAAACTATATCCAATTTATACCGAAGAAGTGGAGCATTAAAAATAAGATTTGCAAAAAATCAATGAAGTTGCCTACACAATAATAAAACTTACAAGTTTCTTACATAATTCTCATCACAAGCGTCCATTTTCTCTTTCTCTATCTCTCGTTCATTTTAATTCACGTTAATATTAATGTTGTACAATCCCATAAATGAAGTATGCGAGTTGCACATTTACACCATTCATTGTAAATTATTCACTCTCCTAAAAAACCCATTATATGACATTTTCCAAAATCCGGGTGCCCTTGGGGATTAAAATTATTCTCTTTTACAATTAAAATTACCCTTTTTTAGGGATTTTGTTTTCTCCGAAACAAATTATCAAACTATTATAAAAAAAAATTAAAATATATTTTAATTACTGTTGAGATATATAAAACCATTAATGTAGCATCACCCAACAGCTTAAGCTTTTGGGTTGAATTGGTTCTTTACAATTACAAAAGAAAAAAAAAAATCATTAAAAAGAGCACAATCTAGCAGACATATATCAAACCCAAAAAGAAAATAAACTATACCAAAGAAGCAGTAAATTTTGAACATTTCTACAACAACACTTATGCAAAATTATATTTACTTATTTTTTCAAAAAATCCATTAGCATTTATGTCTAAATTTTATCTCTTTTTCTTATAAAGGTCAAACAAGTGAAATCCTATTAAAATTAGTGAATATTAATGAGGAGACATGTATAAACTCTATAATTTTAACACAATGACGTCCATATCCCATGATTTAAAAAAAAAAAAAGACACATTCATTAGCTCAAAAAAATAAAAAAATAAAATAAAAAACAATTGGGGGATGATAGAAGAAGAAGAATACCGTTCAAGGCCTTGCCGATCAGAGGGAAACCAAGTTTTTCTCAACGAAGCTCTCCGACCCACAGACCCGAACCCGGTTTGAACCCCCACAAACCCCATCACCTTATGCCTATTCGCAACCCCATGGCTCCCTCCGCCGCCGCTAGCATGCTCCCACACCACCCGAACCGATCTGGGGTGCGGGCTGAGGCAGCGGTAGCCCTTAATTGGCCTCAGAAAAGCGACGGTTCCGATGAGGAATCCGACGAGCACAGCGGAGGCGACGATGATGAAGGCGGATCTACGAGACGAGAATGCGGCGGATTGGCGGGCGTAGGAGGAGTAGGATTTTGGAGAGGAAGGCATGGCTCATGGAATCACACACACCACACACGTTTGGGGTTTATGGTGGTGATGGGGTTTGAGGTTTCGTTCATGGCACCATCACACAAATATAGAGGTTTTGTTCTTAGAAACCGAAGATTGTAGGTAAGGTAGCCCAAGAGGAGAGAGACAGGTAGTGTAATTGTGACAGTGAAGCTGACTAAAGAAACCGATGAACATTGACGAAAGGGAAAACGGATGTGATTTTAAATAACGCATCTTATGTTTTTTTTTATTCTCACATATAATTGGGATTCACGTTTTTTAAATTTTTTTTATTTTCTTTTTTATGATTTATTTTTTTTATTTAAAATAACACAATTTTATATTTTTTAAAATGATAATATATTTTTTTTTCTTAATGAAATATAGTTACTTTTTATTGAAATTGTACTAAAGTAACTACTAAGTAACACAATGGGTTGAGCATGTTAATTTTTTTTAAAAAAAAAAGGATAAAATAAACACGGTAAAAATATTTAAAAGTTGCAATTTAAATAATAAATTATAGAATTGATCTTATATTCAAATATTTTACATAATTAATTTACTTATCAATTCGGTGCAACTGACACATGGCAACTTCGGTAAGTTGCATTGCATCCAAATTGATGCGTAGAGCTTGCTAGATAGCACTTGCACCTAAATTAATATGTAATTAATTGTGCATCACTTTGACATAATTTATTGTATTAGTTGCATAAAATATATTAATTCTGTAATTTATTATTAAATTATAATTTTTTAAATTTTTAATTCATTAAATTTTATGATTTCAAAATGATGTCATTTTAAAGTTAAAAAAATAATTTTATAATTCTAATTTTTTCTGAGATTTAGATATTAATCTTTATTATTATAATATTTTTTCTCCCACCTCCAAAATAAAAAAAATTTGAGGCCGGAAAACGTTAAACCTAAAAATAAAATAATATAAGGTTTTAATTTTTAATTATATAAAAAAGGCATATGGCATATGTATATTAAAAAAATTAAAGTATTTTTGGTCACTTTAAAGAATACAAGCTTATGCACACTTATATTGATAAAATGATTATACGAATAATGGAAATTCTAATTAGAGATAATAAATCGATAAAATGTTTGTCCTCTCATTCATCAAATTTAGGTGATAATATTCATCAATCACGTTAAGTTCGTATTCAAATTAAAGTATATTTTTTGGTAAATATTAAAGAATATGTTTATTATCACCTAAAATCAGTTTTTTTAATAAAAAAATAACAATTTAATATATAAAAATTTGAATTTTATGCTTGTTAGTATTGAGCTTATCACGTAATGACATGTTTTGTAAGATAAGTGTATCACTAAATATGTTAATTACAGATCGGCTATATGAAAGGGTAAATTAATAATAACTTATTTTATGAAAGAAACTAATATTTTGAGAGATAGGATATTCTTACTATTAATTAATGTTACTACTAATGTCATTATCACTTTGTTTCACCGTTAGATCGATTATGTTGATTCAACGGTTATATTTATTTTCATCTTTGAATAGTTATGGTTCCTCATATTTAATATGAAAGTATTAAATATGGGAAATCATAACCATACAAAGATAAAAATAATATAAAATATTAAATATAAGGATAAGAAAGAAGGTTTTTAAAAAATTAAATCATAATCGTTAGATCAATATAATTGATCGAACGGTAAAATAAAATGATAGTGACATTGATAGTAACATTAATTAATGAGTTTGATTTGAAAAATGATAATCGTTGATTGGCGAAAATCAACGGTTAAGATGTGGTAGTAACATTGATAGTTTCATTATTTGGTTGTCACAATATCTTATCCCATATACTATATAGCATGAGATTCCGAAGACAAAAATATTATTACTCATATTTTCTTGAAAAAATCATTAGTAAAAAGCATTTGAAGAAGGAAGAGAAGAAGAATATAAGATAAGTATTGATTTCAAAAAAAGAAGTTTTAAAATTGATTTATTGGATGGACAATAACCAGCTATTAATGTTAAAATAACCATATAGTTAATCCAGTTTGGTTATGGCAACAAAATTGGGACTTCAAAAAAATGAGCTTCCTTGAATTTTATGATGACTTTGAAAAACATAACACCCTTGAAATTATATTGGGATTCTTGATACCTACTTCTTAATTCTATTCTCTTCGCTACAATACTTGTAAAATTGATAATATGACCAATTGACCATAGAAGCTGACTTCAATTAATTTTTGCTTCCTAACCACCTAACTTTACCAAATGCATTGTTGCTGCTCATTTACTTCTAAGTTACATATTACTTAAAAATATCTTATAATTATCAAACTTCTTTTTATACTTCGGTATGATGCTACTTATATATATAATTTTTTAATAGGAAAAGTTTACTAATATCTTTGTGGTTTGCTGAGGACTAAAAAGGATATTTACTCTAATTTTTTTTACGGGATTCATAGCTTTGATTTTGTTTTAATCTTTGTTTGTAACTTTCGACTCTTTATAAACTAGAATGACATGCATAAAGAGTTGTTTTAAATTTACATTTATATTATCTAACTATGTTATTTTAATCTTCTTTTAATTTTCGTAGGGACATAATCTCTAACTTCGTAAAGAGGAAATTGTAATTCTTTTAAATTTGTGTTCAAATTTTAGTGAAGAGTGAAGAAATATGAAATGAACCTACTCGTGGCTCATTAAAGAATTATATATATATATATATATATATATATAAATAAATAAAGAGAGAGGGGGGTTTTATATTTCCCCCAAACAATACATAACTTGATCCACAATGATTAAAGAGATTGATCAAGAAAAACACATGGAAGATTTATCTTGATTTTCTCAAAACCACTAGAGAGCTACATTCTGTTGGGCTTCTTCCTTCAAATGCTAAGCCCAAGCCCATTGAGGGGTTTCTTAAAAATCCTAACCCTAGATTTCACCTCCTCTATATATTCATTAGTTGTGGGTGGAGGCTAAGTTAGAAGAATGAGAAAAATTATTTGAGAGATTTGTGAGCAAAGCTTTTAGCTTTGTATTTTGAGAGATCTCTAGAGAGAGTTTGAGTGAAACATCTTTAGGGAAGTTTGATTATCACCATTGTTGGAGATGTTGAGTTAACCACCACTTTGGTGAATCCTGATTCTTTGTACCCATTATTTTCATAGTGGATGTTTGAACTGGACTAGGTCCCGTGAGTTTTTAGTTCTTCATTGGAGAAGGTTTTCTCACGTTAAAACTGCTTGTGTTCTCTTTCTCTCTCCCCCCTTTGTATTTTTTTTTCCGCTGCGCTGCCCGACCTGGTGAAATTCAGGCCGAGGTAGGATTGCCGAGATCTGAGATCCAGGATCTTGTTGATTAACTTCCGCGAAGAGGCTTCTTAGCCGAGTCGAGGGAACCAAGTTCCCAACAGTGGTATCAGAGCCCGAGTTCGACGGGTTCTGAGGGAGACGAGATGGAGACTAGTGGTATAACCCATGATGGAGATATGTTCAAGCTGACCGCAGACAATTTCACCTATCGGAGACCGATGATGGAAGATCATCTCTAATGCAAAGATTTACATGCGCCCATTATCCTTGATGAGAGACCGTCAGGCAAAATAGATAAGGAGTGGGAGATCCTGAGTCGTAAGGTGGTAGCTGTAATCAGGAAATACATAGACAAAAGCCTCTTTGAGCACGTGTCCGAGTTCACGAACACGTACGAGTTATGGACGAAGTTGGAGTCCATGATTCAGAAGAAGACTCCTAGGAATAAAGCACACCTGGTTCGCCGACTTGTGAAGCTGGAATACAAGGACGACATAAGCATGATTGAACACCTCAACACCTACAAAGGTATTGTTAATCAGCTGTCTAAAGCCGAGATGAAAATTGATGATGAGATGCAGGCTTTGCTGCTGTTGAGCCCGCTGCCAGAAAGGTGGGATACTCTGGTGGTGACTTTGAGTAATTCGGCTCCAGAAGAAAAATTGAAGATGCATGCCGTAACAGATAGCCTCCTGAATGAAGAAGCTAGGAGAAGAGAACGAGGTGTTTCGAGCACGTCTGAGACCAACGTTGCTAAGAACAGAGGAAAATCTGACTCCCGGGGTAGAAGCAAAAGCCGGGTTCGAGATGGTGATAGACGAAGAAAGTCCAGAGGTCAGTCAAAGTCGAAATATGAGTTGAAGTGCTTCTATTGTGGGAAGACAGAGCATAAGAAGCCAGACTGCTGGACTCAGCAGAATGACGAGAAGAATGGCTCTGTGAAGTCGGATTAGATTATTCCCAAGAAGAGGGAAGACAAGAGCACCACTGCGGTGGCTGCAAACTCGGATGCCAAGATATTCTTCTTAGGTGAGGATAATTATTTTAATGTTGCATATGATGACTGCACTTGGATTATTGACTCCGGTACCTCCTTCCACATTACTCCACACAAAGGTTTTTCCTCCTCTTACCAAGGTAGTGATTTTGAAGTCATGAAGATGGGAAATCAAGTGACCAGCAAGATTGTTAGTGTCGGTGATGTGACCCTGACCACAGATGTTGGGTGCCGACTTGTGTTGAAAGGTGTAAGTCAAGTTTCTAACATGCGATTGAACCTAATCTCAGTAGGCAAGCTTGACGATGCCGGGTTAGTAAACTATTATTCCGGTAGTGTTACATGGAAGCTGACCAAGGAAAACTTGCTTGTTGCCCGAGGTAAGAAGGAAGGCTCATTGTACGTGATGCAAGGAAAGATCAATGGCAGAGAAGCCAATTCTGTCCGAGATGGACCTATGGAGCTATGGCACAAACGCCTCGGGCACATGAGCGTGAAAGGGCTCCAAATCCTGAACAAGAAATGATTACTAATCGGGTTGAAAGGCCAAGCGTTGGAGATTTGCACGCACTATCTAGCTAGAAAGCAGCATCGGGTTTCTTTCGTTAAACCGGATCAACCCAAAAGACACAGGTATATTCTTGACCTCGTCCATACTGATGTTTGCTCCATGTCGGAGAAATCCCTTAGAGGAGCTCAATACTTTGTTTCATTCATTGATGATCACTCCCGCAAAGAGTGGGTTTATTTATTGAAGTCTAAACACCAAGTACTCCAATCCTTTAAAGAGTTTCATGCTATGGTTGAAAGGGAGACTGGAAAGAAATTGAAGGTGGTCCGATCTGACAA